AAGTTTCTTGGGGATGGGGCCGACCATGAGTCATTTTCAGAGGTTGGTCCAGTGAGCATCAAATGCCCACTAGCTTTCCTGGATATCTGGGGAGACCGTCACAGACAGTGAGAGGCCTGAGCTCACCGATGGTTTTACACAAGGCTCACTGGGGACTGGGGATGTCCCGTTTCAGACCTGCTCCCTGTCCTTGAAGAGGGGAAGAGGCATGAACCGAGATGGCTACACCAATTGCAAGCCCAGTGCAAAATGAGAAGACGCACTCCTTGTTCCAACGTAATGAACAATTTGCAGGTGGGGGCAGCAAAGAGTTAAACCAGTATGGCGCCCTTCTGTGCGCGGCCACCCCGTGTGAGTTCCACAGAGTGCAGACTCATGAAACTTGGCGTGTAGATAACAGAAGCTATCCACCTCCGTGGCCTTCCGGGTCTCTAGAAATGGAAAGAACATTTTCCGCACTCTCATGGCATCTGGTTCCTGTGGCCAACAGTAGATTGAATAGTGTCTCCCGGAAAGAGATGAGCAAAGCCTAATCCCTGGTATCCGTGAATGGGATCTGATTCACAGAAAGGGTCTTGGCAGGTGTCACTGAGCAAAGGGTCTTGAAATGAGATCATCTGGGTTATCCAGGTGGGCCGGAAATCCAGTATCAAGTGTCCTTATTAGAAACAGGTAGAGACACAGATACAGGGAGAAGGCCACGTGGAGATGGAGGCAGAGACTGCCGTGATGCGGCCACAAGCCCAAGGGATGCCTGGAGCCCCCAGGAGCTGGGAGAGGCAGGAAGGATCCTCTCCTAGAGCCTCTGGAGGGAACTGGACACAATTGTAGTGGACTGAACTGTGGTCTCCCAAAAAGATCTGTCTATATCCTAATACCCAGAGCCTGGGAATGAGATCTTATTTGGAAATAAGGATCTTTGAAGATGCAGTGAATTAAAGATCGTGAGATGAGATCATACTGGAATAGGGTAGGCCCTAAATCCAATGACAGGTGTCCTTCTAAGAGACAGAAGAAGACACACAGACACAGAGGAGAAGGCCACCTGGAGACAGAGGCAGAGACTGCAGTGATGCGGCCACAAGCCCAGGGACGCCTGGAGACCCCAGGAGCTGGGAGAGGCAGGAGGATCCTCTGATGGAACTGGACACAATTGTAGTGGACTGAACTGTGGTCTCCCAAAAAGATCTGTCTATGCCCTAACACCCAGAGCCTGGGAATGAGATCTTATTTGGAAATAAGGATCTTTGAAGATGCAATGAGTTAAAGATCTTGAGATGAAATCATTCTGGAGTAGGGTGGGCCCTAAATCCAATGACAGGTGTCCTTCTAAGAGACAGAAGAGGAGACACAGACACAGAGGAGAAGGCCACGTGGAGACAGAGGCAGAGACTGCAGTGATGCGGCCACAAGCCCAGGGACGCCTGGAGACCCCAGGAGCTGGGAGAGGCAGGAAGGATCCTCTCCTAGAGCCTTTGGATGGAACTGGACACAATCGTAGTGGACTGAACTGTGGTCTCCCAAAAAGATCTGTCTATATCCTAATACCCAGAGCCTGGGAATGAGACTTTATTTGGAAACGAGGATTTTTTTTTTTTTTTTCAAGATGGAGTTTTGCTCTTGTTACCCAGGCTGGGTTGCGATGGCATGATCTCGGCTCACCGCAATCTCCACCTCCTGGATTCAAGCAATTCTCCTGTGTCAGCCTCCTGAGCAGCTGGAATTACAGGCTTGTGACACTGGAGTGATGCAACCACATGCCAAAGGGATGCCTGGAGCCCCCAGCAACTAAGAGAGGCAGGAATTGATCCTTGCCTAGAGCCTCCGGATGAAGCAGAGCCCTGAGACACCTTGATCTTAATCTTCTGGTCCCAGAGCTGGGAGAGGAGAAATAATTCCTTTTGTCTTGAGGCCCCCTGAGACACCGTGATCTTAATCTTCTGGTCCCAGAGCTGGAAGAGAAGAAATAGTTCCTCTTGTCTTGAGGCCCCCAGCTATGGTCACTTGTTACAGCAGGCCTGGAAAACTGATCAATGGCATAACCTGCAATGAGCTGTTTAAACACACAGCCATCTCATGGGACCATCTACATCATCTTCACACAGAGACCTGAGCCCCACGGGGAGCTTGGCAGATGTGATGCCGGGGCCTCTACAGATCCAGATGTGGGGGTTCAGTCAGGCTGGTGGGAAAAATTTTAGTTATAATAGCCACAGACCCTCTGGGAAGGCCTGTGAGTTTGCATAACTTCGGTAACAAACCTGGCTGAAGGCAGCCTAGTCCCTTTACCTTTAGTTTAATAAATTAGAGTAGAAACAAAAGAATGTGAGGAGTTTATCTAACTAAATTGTTTACTCATGTGGACCTAAGACTAACCTTTGATCTATTGCAGGAGCTTAACTGCTTTCTACTTAGGGAAGTCCACAATGTCAATTTCCCTCTAGCGGTGTTGACTCACCACCTTTGTCAATTAATCTTTGCTGAATAAATGCAAGTCTCGCTGACTGATCCAGGCCATGGCCGCTACTAAGTGGCTTGGACACTCAGCCAAACTGGCAAAGCAGAATAGCTGTGTGTCAGTGTACTTCATTCATCCGTGGCTGGCTCAGGGTCTGCGGGACACACTCCCGCACCATAAATCTTGTTGCAGTTCTCACCGTATGGGCTTCAGGTCTCCCTGCAGCACCATGAGTCCAGCTACGCTAGGGAGGTCAACATCATGAGTGTATCCTGCAAGTTTCATTGTCCTTGTAACCTGTGGCAGGCTGTCCTTCCTGGAGGCTGTTTCCTGGCCTGTTAGTCTGGTTGTATCATTCATGGTTTTCCTATGAAGGGTCTTAAGATCTAAGCGGACATCCTGCACGGAGACTTCATCTGTCTGCAGAAGGGGCTTGAGCTCATTCTCTCTGCATTGAGAGTCCTGTGTGTTGAGGTCTGAGCTCTGCCCGAAACAGAAACATACCAACTGTTAGGGTCACCCCGACCGGACCGTTCCCTTCCCCTCCCACAGGCCTTACAATCCAGATCCCTTGCACTCTCCGCACACCTCCCCCAGGGCTAAAGACAAACGCCCCCCTTCACTGACCCTTCCAGTAACTGTTTGTCCAGAGAGTTACAGGATGTGGTTAACATGTCTGTTAACCTCGTGTAAGTTAGCTGGCAAAAAACATCTCCAGGATGCGGTCAAGACACCTGCAACCCCTACTCAGCTTCCCAACCCCAGCCCAGTCCTCCTGCAGCCTCGGCTCAGCACCCCACCCTGACCTGGTTACGGCCCTATAAAACCCTGCTGTAGTCTGTAAGGGGGGCTGCCTCCTCTAACCGTGGTAGACCAACCAAGCAGCTCAGTAAAGCTTGCTTGCCTGATTTGTAGGTCTCCTCATCCTTTCTCTCGGCTGACCTTACGCCGATGATGTAGTGAGCATCTAACGTGAATATCCCAGGGAACAAATCCACATTTCTTATCCTTTTGTACCAAGGAAGGTCCCTTGTCTAGTGGGTCCATGACATAGAATTCCTGGTTTTCTGTAAAGGAACAACAGAAATCCAGGCATCCTGGTTATCTACCAAGGAAAATCACCATCTGTGGTGACAAACCCATTCCCGGAGGATGACCGATTTTTTTTTTAAAGAGGCCAAACAATACATTTGTTATTTTCATTTAAGTTGCTTATCAGGGCAACCTTACCCATCTGGGAATGATCTAGCAGTCATGTAAGAAGCACATGCCCCCGCAATTAGTTTGAACTCCATCCCGGAATTGCAGCTGGTTGTGATTCAAAGGTACTGGCGTGCCAGGAGCTGATGTTGGGTTTCAATAGTCAGTGGGATTTTGTCACTTAGGGGAATGGATAATAAGCCAACCAGTGGTCATCAGTCTCACACATAATGAGTACGGGCTCATAGGGTCTACACAGTACTTTCTCAAAAGCATTGCAAATGACTCCTTTCTCCATGTTGAAATTTGAGAACCCAACCCCTATCTCTCTAACACCAAAGGATTGAACCTTCCTTGCCTGTCTGGTGAGTAAGAGTGAGCCTCTATACTAAGATCCGTGAATGGGATCTGATTCACAGAAAGGGTCTTGGCAGGTGTCATTGAGTAAAGGGTCTTGAAATGAGATCATCTGGATTATCCAGGTGGTGTATCCTCTATACCAAGGATGTACCGTTTGGCTGTGTGAGGCTTTCAGAAGTATCAGAAGCTGCACACATTTCCTGTGGTTGTGGTAACAAGTAACTACCAATTTGTTGGAGCCTTAAAACAAGAAAGATTTATTCTCTCTCTGTTCTGCGGACGAGAAGTCTAAAGTCAAGATGTCAGAAGGGCCGAGATTGCTCTGAGGGGTGTAAGGGAGAATACTTCCTGCCTCTCCCAGCTCCTGGTGGCTCCAGGCATTGCTTGGCTTGTGGCTGCATCACTCCAGCCTCTGCCTGCATCATCACATGAACCACTTGTCTTCTGTACTCAAATCTCCCTCCACCTGTCTCTGATAAGAACCCTCGTGATGGCATTCGGTTCACTGTGATGATCCATAATGACCCATCTCAAAACTCTTAATTCTATCTGCAAAGATTCTTTTCCAAATAAAATAATACGTATAAGTTCTGAGGGTTAGAGCGTGAACATATCTTTTGAGGACTACCATTTGATCCACAGCTGTTCAGTGGTTGACATTCTCGGATTTGACAGCGGCATCTTTCACTTGTGACTGTGCCGCTCTGGAATGAGGTTGACCAGATGCTGCTGCTGGCCACGCGAAACTGATCCCACATGAAACTGATCCTACAGGCTGTGGCAAGCAAAGGCTCACACCTCCCCATGTCTGACATCCGTGAATCACAGCTGGGTCTCTGGAAAAATGAGTGACTGCAGGAACAAAATCAAACAGGAGACCTCATCCACCACTACGTCTCAGAGAGGATACTGCGGCCCCTGAAAGGAGGTCATCTCTTTTGGAACTTTCGTACTCAGTTGTACTTAACGCGGCAAGGAAAACGGCACATTTGTGTTGGAAAATGTAATTATTTGTGGCACCTGTGATAATTGGGCACTTTGGAATCACAAGGTTTATGGTTGAGGACCACCTGGGGTGATTATCCCCTAAAATGTTTCTTTGGCTTCTTGAAGTTCTGCAGAAGTTGAGGCAGCTGTCTCAAAACTAGAGGACAGAGCCCTGTGGGCAGGTGGGTGTGAGAAACTCAAACACTGCAGTCTTCACAGACCCACAAGCCACTGACAGGTGCAATGTATTTCTAGGGACAGCAACTATCCTGAGACAGGATATCACAGGGTCACATCAAGGACCCCAGTCATGTCACAACTCTTAGACCAGAGCTGCTGCTGCAGTTTCTGGTTGTAGGTGACGTGGAGGGACTTGGTCTCTTTCTCGTTGTACAGGTAACGGCCACCAACTCCTTCCAGCTCTGGGGTGACCGCTGCGTAGATGGAAGTCCACGCTCCCTCATCAGGGGTCTGGTGGAAGAAGAAAAGAAGGCTACGGTGAGACAAATTTCTGAGCAGGAAGCAGGATTCTCCGGACTCACGTGGATGCTGCAGGGAAAGGTGGAATATATTCATCAGCTGCACTGAGAAATGTATGCGGAAAGCGAGGTTGGGTGATCCATCGGAACCACAGCTTCTCTGCTGCTGGGTTTCTTTATAACACGCACTGACAATAACGCACCCAAGTGGGTTGCATTTCAATGGTAGGTTAATCCATCTCACTAGGCAGATGCATATTAAAATCCCTGATGTACATATTTAATTCACACCCTCTTTATGGGACCGAAATGCTTATTCACTGACTAGAAGCAGATGAGTGAGTGCTTGGCCTCTGTATTTAACAAACAATATTAAGCAATTAGATGAAACATCAGAACATCCAAAAGATTGTTGGTTTCAATTCAGCAAGGCATGCTACATCGGAGAATTGGGGCATTTATGGGCTGTGATCATATGCTTCATGGAAACAAGACAGTTCAAAAAGGAACGTGAGACGCAGAAAAAGGCTTTTCAAAGACTGGGGATTTTACCCTAGTGGAAGGTGATAGTCTTGAAACACAGCACACCCTGGTTTTCTACAGTGGGAGCTGGCCTTTGGTCATGGTCAGTGGGATGGAAGAAATGGAGGATTCTCAGAGGAATTAGAAGTTGTGGGACCTGAGAACCTTCAGAGCTAGGATGCAATAATCCAGGAATCAACACAGTCCTTCTTAACATCTGACTGTCACAATGAAGATGTTTCAGGAGGTCATCTCTCGTAAGAAGCTTCTGGGAATCTGGTGAACGTATCCACCATGTGGGGGCACGGTCTACAAACCAGGAAGCAGGTCCCTGCCAGATACAGAATCTGCCATAGGTCATCTCTCGTAAGAAGCTTCTGGGAATCTGGTGAACGTATCCACCATGTGGGGGCACGGTGTACGAACCAGGAAGCAGGTCCCTGCCGGACACAGAATCTGCCATAGGTCATCTCTCGTAAGAAGCTTCTGGGAATCTGGTGAACGTATCCACCATGTGGGGGCACGGTGTACGAACCAGGAAGCAGGTCCCCGCCAGATACAGAATCTGCCATGCATTGATCTTGAACTTCCAGCCTCCAGAACTGTGAGCAACAAGTGTCTGTTGTTTCCAGGCTGCCCAGGCTATGGTGTTTTGTGACAGTAACACAAACAGACTGAGACATTTGATGTCCAGAGTTTTTACTGGGGTTTCATTGCATAGGGATGATTGATTCAGTTACAGGTCACATGATCAAATTCAGCCGCCAGTCCCTCTTTCTTCCCCAGAGGTCAGGCTGGCCCCAAATTCCAACCCCCTAATGACGTGGTTGGTGTTTCTGGTGGCTAGCCCCATCTGGAAGCCATTTAGGAAGCACCAGCAGTCACCTCATTGTACAACCAGGGCGTTGCTAGCATTTGTGAAATTGCAAGAGTTTTACAAGTTCCTCCTTGTTACAGAACCAGGAATAAAGACCAGATACTGCCTTTGTCATGTCCCCTCTAGTTTTCTGGGAGCGATGATCCAATCCCCCGAACTGATCTCACCTCTCACCAGCGCCCCTAGCACTGCGGTGGCTCATGCCTGTAATCCCAGCGCTTTGGGAGACCAAGGAAGGAGGATTGCTTGAGTCCAGGAGTTCGAGACAAGCGTGGGCCACATGGCAAACCCTAGCACTGGTGAGAGTTCAGGCACACGCCCTCCCAAAAGGAAAAGGACAGACTCTGTGGGGTGGCCTGTGACACCCAGTCACTTCAGAAATTCTCCTGCTCCCAGTTCACTGCCTCACGGTCTTGACTTCAGCAGCCAGTGTGATGGGGAAAGGCATGGGAGCGAATCCAGTGTGCCCACCAGCCCATCCTCTGGGTGGCGAGCAAGGGGAAGAGGAAGGCCGGACCCCAGTGCGGGGACAGAGCTGCCAGACTCCTGACGTTGTTTCCCACTGACTTGTCTCTGCTCTTCTGCTGCCTAAAAGCAGTGGATGGAGCTAGAGAACTTCCCAAGTCTGCAAATCACCGAGGGGTGCCCGGAGGTTTTGCAAACCCAGAGTGTCCTGGGAGATTTGGAGGCTGATATGGTCTGGCTGCGTCCCCACCCAGATTTCATCTTAAACTGTAGTTCCCATAATTCCCACGTCTGATGGGAGGGAGTCAGTGGCAGGTAACTGAATCATGGGAGTGGGTCTTCTCGTGCTGTTCTCATGATAATGAATAGGTCTCACGAGATCTGATGGTTTCATAAAAGGCAGTTCCCCTGCACACACTCTGTTGCCTGCCGCCACGTAAGACATGCCTTTGCTCCTCCTTCACCTTCCGCCATGATTATGAGGACTCCCCACCTATGTGGAACTGTGACTCACCCACATCTGTACATGCCAGGCAGTGCTAAGAACCAGGCAGGGAGGGAGGGGATGGACCTGTCTGCACAGAGTCCTGCACCTGCTGGGAACAACTCAGTGTCATCAGCTATGGCCTGGGTCAAAGCACCTTTGTTTTGGGTATTCAAAGATCAGTGAAGGGTTGAGTGAAAGGGACAGAGAAAGAAAAAAAAATATCAATGGAAGGAAGAAAGAGAAGGAGAAAGAAAGAAAAAGAGGAAGAAGTAAGGAAGACATGAGAAAGGAATGAAGGAAGGAAACAAGGAAGCAAAAAAGGAGGGAAGGAAGGAGGGACACAGAGAGAGAGGGAGGCAGGCAGTAAGAAAGGAAGGAAGCAGAGAACAAGAAAGAAAAGAGAGAAGGAAGGAAGGAGAGAGAAAGGCAGCAGAGAAGAAAGGAGGAAGGGAGAAAGTAGGGAAGAAGGGAGGAATGGAAGGATGAAAGAAAGAAAAAACAGGAAGGAAGCAAAGAAGGAAAGAAGGAAGGAAGGAAGGAAGGAGAGAGAAAGGAAAAAAAGAAAGACAGAGAAAACAAAGAAGCAAAGAGAAAGAAGGAAGGATGAGAGGGAGGGAAGAGGCAGAGAGGAGGGAGAGGGAGGAGGGAGAAGGAAGGAAGGAAGGAGGAAGGAAGGAAGAAGGGAGGAAGGAAGGAAGAAAGGAAGAGGGAGGGAGGGAAGGAGGGAGGGAAGGAGGGAGAGGGAGGGGAAAGGAGGTTGAGGGAGAGGGAGGGAAAGCGAGGTGAGGAGGGAAGGAGGGAGGGAGGGAGGAGGAAAGGGAGGTGAGGGAAGGGAAAGGAAAGGAGGAGGGAGGAGGGAAGGAGAAGGAGGGAGGTAAGGAGGAGAAGGGAGTGGAGGAAGGGAGGAGGGAGGGAGGGAGGGAGGGAAGGAAGGAGGGAGGGAGGGAGGGAGGGAGGGAAGGAAGGAAGGAAGGAAGGAAGGAAGGAAAAAAGGGAGACAAAAGGAAGGACTGGAGGAAAAAAGATAAGAGGAAGGAAGGGAGGGAGGAATTTATTCCTCAGAGCCTTTGCTGCATTTACCAATTCTGGTTCTGCCCCCATTTGACCAAATATCTGGGGTGACTCTGAGAATTCTGATTTCTAAGACAAGGCAGACATTGTGAATTTGAAATAGCAAATCCCTTTTGTGTCATTCAAGCCACGATTTGCTTTTTATTAGAGCTCCTGTTCTCCAGATAGCATCCAGGGCACACAGAGATATTTGCCTGAGACTGTTCAAAGAGCTTCAGAAAGCTGCTCCCTCTGAACTCCACACTTAACTTGTATTAGACGTGCTGGGCTTTGCAGAAGAGAAACACACAGGGCTTCCCTTTGTCCTTGGGGCGGGTCCCCTGTGCTGTGTGCAAGGAAACTTTCTAACTCTCCACTGCCAGGAGCAGAGGGCAGTAGGAATGGCATCACCCGGGATGTCTCCTAGGGATGAGGCTGGCAGGGCGTGGGGGGTGAACTGTCCAGCTCTCTGCAAGGCACACAGAGGCTCGTTCACCCTCTGTAAACGTCGCTATTTGAATGCAGACGCTGGCGGTAGATCCTTGAGATGTGCTCAGAGAGATCTGAGGGCACGTGTCTTTATTTCAGCACCACCCACATCTTAGGGCAGGAACTCACACTCAGGGAAGTGGCTGGCAAGTAACGAGACTCCGAGCTGAGCTTCCCAAGGAGAGTTTCCATGCCCCAGAGTTGTGGAAGAGGGGACGGAGCAATGCTGTGGTCACAGAAATTCAGAGACCTGTGCCCAGGCTCAGCCGCCTTCCTGGAAGAATGTCCTGAACATTCTACAAAGGCCACGCTTCCTCTCCATACCTCTGCTCCAGCCACCCAGGGATCCTGCTGCTTCGGCCACAATGTCCCCTGCCTCTTGCCTCTCTGTACCTGCTGCTTGCTCCTTCTGGAATGTTCTGTAAAATAGGTTTCCTGGGGCTGGATGTTTTCTGAGATGCTGACTCACAACGCAAATCAGAGGGTCACACCACCTGTGCATGTGTATGTGTGTGTGTGTGCACAGATATACGCAGGTACATGTGTGCATGTATGTGAGTGTGTGTGCACAGATATACGCAGGTACATGTGTGCATGTATGTGTGTGTGTGTGCACAGATATACGCAGGTACGTGTGTACATGTATGTGGGTGTGTGTGCACAGATATACGCAGGTACGTGTGTGCATGTATGTGGGTGTGTGTGCACAGATATACGCAGGTATGTGTGTGCATGTATGTGGGTGTGTGTACAGATATACGCAAGTACATGTGTGCATGTGTGTGTGGGTGTGTGTGCACAGATATACGCAGGTACGTGTGTGCATGTATGTGGGTGTGTGTGCACAGATAAACGCAGGTACATGTGTGCATGTGTGTGTGGGTGTGTGTGCACAGATATACGCAGGTACATGTGTGCATGTATGTGGGTGTGTGCGCACAGATATACGCAGGTACATGTGTGCATATGTGTGTGTCTGCACAGATATATGCAGGTACATGTGTGCATGTATGTGGGTGTGTGTGCACAGATATACGCAGGTACATGTGTGCATATGTGTGTGTCTGCACAGATATACGCAGGTACATGTGTGCATGTATGT